CCCCCCCCCCACCATTTCCATTTACTGACTTTTACAAGTAAAAGAAGATTTCTACTCTACGTCTTCCTCACCCTTGATGTTTGTTTTAAAGTGCATCTCTTGAATCTAAATTTATTTGCAGGTGAGCTTGGGAAACAATGCTTGCTGTAATATCTGTTTTTTCAGTTTGCAAAATTTGAAGAGAGCTTGAGATCTGCGGTTGAATATGGGCGCTGAGAAACACGGTTCCAAGAGTGGAGGAGGTTATGTTGGTGGCTTCCTGCAGTTATTTGATTGGAACGCAAAATCACGGAAGAAGTTGTTCTCTAGCAAGTCTGATATACCAGGTAAACACTAAATTGTCTATGAGCGATGGTTTGAACTACTGATTCTTCCACGTGCATGTCTGTAGTGGTAGAACTTCACCTGTTAAATGTTATAATGGCTGAACAAGCATAACTTCTATGCTTTTTTCAGAGCAATCCAAACAGAAGAAGAGATGTGATGGGAACTTACCTATGACTCGGGTTCATCTGGTCAGTTGTCTACTCAATCTTTCTCATCTTTTCTTTTTCCACCTACTTGGATTGGTGGAGACATATTTTCTTGTTGCTGTACTTTTCAATTGAAACTATTTTTCGTATGCAGAAGAATGAGGATGATACTACAGCAGCATCCAGTGTCAAAGGAAGCAGTGATTACAGTTGTGCCTCGTCGGTGACTGATGAGGAATTTTATGGTATCAAGCCTGCAGGTGTCGTTGCAAGGCTTATGGGATTGGATTGCATGCCAACCTCTAACGTTTCAGAGCCTTACTCAACTCCATTTTTAGATTGTGAATCCCTACGAAGTGCTCCTTGCCTTTTGAGAAACCTCGAATACCAGCAAAATTTTCAATCAGTATATTCCAGCAACTTTCATGAGAAAATGGAGACTCTAGGCAGGAGCTCATTGGAGCCAAAGCAACAGAAGATAATCAGCAGGCCAATTGAGAAGTTTCAAACGGAGATTTTGCCTCCTAAGTCAGCTAAATCAATCCCAATCACTCATTATAAGCTTCTATCCCCTATCAAAAGTGCCAATTCAATCCCACCTCAGAATGCAGCTCACATAATGGAAGCAGCTGCCAGAATTCTTGAGCCAGGACCTCAAGCTACATCGAAAGCAAAATTGTCCCTAATTGGATCTTCTTCACTTCCCTTGAAGGTAAAAGATTTAAAAGAAAGGGTTGAAGCTTCTCAAAAAGTAACCAAGATTGCTGAAGCTTCTCGAAGGCCAGCTGAGTCAAATGCTTCTAAGTACCTTAAAGGGCAACCTATGAATAAGAGCTGGAACGGATCGGCAGATACAACCAAGCAGAAAGATCTCTCAGATTCTGATGAATCTTTTATTGGAGGCAAAACTAAAGGAAAATCGATTTCCCTAGCCCTGCAAGCAAAAGCCAATGTCCAGAAAAGAGAGGGCCTAAATACAGGCAGCAGCAGAAGTGTACTTGGCCAGAAAGAACCAAGTAAAGTCATTTCAAACCAATTGTTTACAAGCCAACCTAGCACAGAAAAGAACACACACAAGAAACCATCTGTACATAATAGTTCAAGTGTTTTGCGGCAGAATAATCAAAAACAAAATAGCATAGCTGATAGGGGGAAGGCACCTTCAAAGACATTTCTTTCCAACTCCCAAGGAAAGCGTACACTTGGCGAGGATTCTTCCTTTGCGCAACAGAAGAGTTCAAGTAAAATGGCTGAAAACTCCAAAGTCAGTTCCAGGAGGTTGAACAGACAGGCAGGTGATAGAAAGGAAGAAACATATTCTTGTACAAAAAGTGTCACACGTAAGAAGCGGCCTAGTGATGGTGATATCCAATATGAGAAAAATCAGGCTGCTGGGAGCACGTCTACTCATAAAAGTGGAAAGCTGATCCAGTCTGGCATATTCACGGATAGGGAAATGAGCTGGGGTGAGAAGAGAAAAGGGGAAGGAACAGACATTATTTCCTTTACATTTAATGCACCCCTGACACGATCAGTACCCAGCCCCGAGCCCCCAAGAGAAGTACAGGGGACAAGTCATGAGTTTAGCACGGATTTTCGAAGTAAAAAGATGCAGCTCAGCTCAGATAGTATGAATAGTTTTAAGTCTTCTTTTGGGCATAACTTGAGTGCTGCTGATGATTTGAGCACTCTTTTGGATCAAAAGTTAAGAGAATTATCGTACGTAGTTGAGTCGTCACGCCAGAAAAAGGGAACATCCAGTTTTTCCTCATCGATATTCCAGGATCTGAATGGCTTATCGAAGACCACCATGTTGCATGGTAAGGGGAACCATGATGACATGGAAGTGGATGATTTAGTCAGCTGCTGGAAGCCTGGATTTTCTTCTATTCGTCCTCTGGGAATCACTGGGCAGCACAAGCATCAGGTATGTAATGCAGAATTCTGTTTTACACTCGAATCTTTATTGCATTAAGTTTGCCACTTTCTTTGTAGGTTGGAGATACCTCTATTGATATATTTTCTACAGTTGTGCCTGTTGTATGAAAATTTAATTAGACCATTCAGATGACTGTATCTTAACCTGCATTTCTTGTTAGCCCTTTTATGCCTTGTAATGATTTGACGTTCTGTGGTCTTTGACATCTTTGTTTTCCCTCCTCCGCTTTTAACTGAGTTGGATTTGACATCGTATGGTTAAGACATCTTTGACTAAAAATTTCAGAAAGTAATTCCCTCCAACTTTCCTGATTCAATGTGCTCTTGTTAATTGTATTGCTCTATTTGTTTAAGAATTTCTCTTTATATAATTCTGTGGAAAGCTCTTTAAAGAATAGATGGGAAACCTTTAAATTAAATTGATCATCTAATCTGGTATGATATCAGGGAATGGAAGAGGAACTGAGTGAGTGTTGCAGCAGTGAATTTGAAGGCAGGAAGGTGTTTGGCAGTCGGTTCCCAAGTCCTATATCTGTTCTTGAGCATTCTTTTCTTACTGAAAGTTGCAATTCTTCAGATACTGCAGAAAGTAACAATACAGGAGGTAAGACCAACACACCGAGTTTTTTCATGCAAGAAAAAATTCCCTGGTACTTTAGAAATATCTGAATATTGTTTAATGAATTTCAGCTAGCAAGCAAAGTTCATCAGTGCAAGCTAAAGAAGTGCTTGGTATATGCTCTTTGAAAAAGTTTCATTCGATAGAAGGTGATGTAGATTTGTTAGACTCTGCCTCTTCAACTTGTGGCGCAAAGGAGCATCTCAAAAATTTCCGTATGATGGATCTTGGGAAATCACCAAACTGGGAGCTGGAATATGTGAAGGAAATAGTATGCAATATTGAGTCGATGTTCATGGATTTCGCAATGAGCAGGTCTCACGAGATCATCAATCCACACCTTTTTGATCAATTGGAAAGGGTAAATGGTCGTGGACATGAGCTAAAACAACGACGGAAGGTAGTATTTGATTGTGTGAGTGAATGCTTGGACATAAGATGTAAGAGGTACGTCGGGGGTGGATATGATACATGGTTAAAAGGTGTCGTGCTGGTCAGAAACAAGGAGAAACTAGCAGAAGAAGTATATAGGGAAATTTCAGGGTGGAGTGGAATGGGGAACTGCATGGTTGATGAACTTGTGGACAAGGATATGAGTGGTTACTTTGGTAGATGGCTGGACTTTGAAGTTGAAGCATTTGAACTGGGAATACAGATCGAGAAACGGTTGCTAAATTCTTTGATTGATGAAGTAGTTGCTGACATCTTGCTACTCTAAAATGCATATTCTTCTTGTATGTTTGTTGTTGCATGTATGATTCTTTCATCCTGCTAGTCATTGAGATAGAACAAGAGAAATGAAATTGACTGCAGCTTTTGGATGTGATGTTACCAGAATCCACATTTCATTTATTGGTTCATTTATCTATTCCATTTGTATTTTCCTGAGGGCAATGAGACGCTACGATCCTCAATTTCATCCGTTAAAGAGCCCGTTTGGATGGGCTTATTTTAAGTGACTTTGAAGCCAAAATAGCTTTTAACCCATAAGTTAGGAATTCTAGCTTTTGGCTTTTGGCTTTTTTGGGGGGTCATTTTAGCTTAAAAACAAGTGCTTAAAAGCACTTTTTTACTTTATAACACTACAAAATGGCTTAAAAGCTATTTTGGCTTAAAAGCACTTAAAATATGGAGAATGACACAGTTACCCACAAAAACAAAACTATTTACCCTTGTCTACTCATTTGTTTTTCTACCCATCAAACTAATTACATTTCCTACCCATAGTTGTTTTTGTGGGAAATTTTTTCTTTATTCTCCAATTCTTTTTTATTTCTATGCTTCTTTTTTTTTTTTTTTGCTTTTCTCCTTTTCTTTTTTCTCGTTTTCTTCTTATTTTTTTCTTTTTTTTTCCTTTTATAATTTCATTTAACTTCTTTTTTTTTATATTCTTTTCTCTTCATAATCTAATTTCATTTACTGTTTTTACTATTTTTTTTATACTATTACTAAAGAAAAATCAAACTGTGTACCAATTAAATGTAGCTAATACAACCAAAAAATATTAACTAACATATGATACCAGTATAGTATATAGCTATACCAATAGGGTATACAATTGTACGCACAGAGTTAAAAAAAAGTTTCTTGTTTTGAGTTTCAAAATAACCACAAACTCAACAAACCCAATTTATGAGTTTCAAAGCTTCAAGGTCCTCCAATGGCAGATTAATGTTTTGCAGAAGTCAGAAGTCTTGGAATTCAAGTCATAGAATAAATCAATACGAAAAAAAGATTTGCATTTTCAATTTGCCGCTCACGCTGGGTAAAAGCTTAAAGCAAATTAAAAGGGAAAAGGCAAGTGAATTTACGGGTAATAAGTATACTATTATGGTATACTATAGCATACTGTTAAAGTATATTGCATATTATTACAGTATACTGTAACAATATATTGTATACTATAATAGTATACTGTCGCAGTATAACTATATACTCCTATAGTATATTGTATACTGTAGCGGTATACTATTAGGCAACTGTATTCTTCTTCAATTATTACAATATACCGTTGCAGTATATTGTAAACTATAATAGTATACTATTGCAGTAAGGCTATATACTCCTACAGCATATTGTATACCGTAGCGGTATACTGTAGCTGTGTTCTTCTTTGATTTTCAGTTGAAAATTTCGATCTCAATCACCTCAAATCAGCTCCAAATGCTATTAAAGTTCAGTATGAACTTCCAGAAGGTACTATAAGCAATATATAACAGCACCAACTTTGAATCAAACAAGAAATCTTCAAAAAAGCACAAAATAGTTGGAAATTCATCGCAGGACTAATAGATCAAAAAGCAGACGCAATACTTCCTCACGTCTTTCCCTCCTGAGTTCTTTATAGAAATCTAGCACTCTAGCTTTGATATCTTTGCAAGGAAATTAGTTTTTCTATAAGCTTATGCGAGAAAGTCATACGGTGGAATAATTGGTATTTGGTACTATGCAATTCCTTTTTGTTATTAGTGGACACGAGGGATAACTAGATAGTCGAAAGGTCTACAACTTCTGCAACAATCCAAACAAAGTAAATCATACAGTTGGATATATTAATTTCAAAAAAGGTACTATGTGTTATGAAATATTATTTAGTAGTAGATGTCTATAACTCCTAAAGAAGTTACTCGCATTACTCTTCTTCATTAAGTAGATAACTCCCACTACTTCTCACCATTATAGTTGTAACTCCCACACCTCCATAACCTCCCCATGTTCTTTCCCCATGATCTCAATAGTTAATACCATATTTATGATATCCCTTTGTATACCTTAATGTCATCCTATAAATAGAGGGTTTGGACATCACATTGTACACACTTGAACTTTCTCTCTACATTGTTGTCTATCTTTTTGTTTTATATTATTACTTTGAGCTAAGTTTTGTAACACGTTATCAACACGAATTTCTATATTCTTCTTATATTTTCTATAAGAGATGAAAGCCTTCCATGGGAGCTACAACCTTGAATCAATTTGGTTGAGCCTGTGAAAATCTGTGCATTTCGTATGCCATATCAATCAGTTTGCATCTATATTGTCCAGGGAGTATCATTTTTAATTACTCTATGAATTTTGAATTTGAATTATGTATCAATAATATAGAAACAACAAACTGATAATAGTAGTTACAATTGTTTTCTGCCTGTATGAGCCACCACTACCAAGAACCAAAGATGAATCCATTCCTTTCCATTGAGCAGGCACTAAGATTATCGAGCTTTAACACTCGAGTGCCATTGTTTTGTGTAATATATCGGAGTATTAAGAAAGTAAGGTACCTGTTTATATACTTACACTATTTATGCGTACACGAGCATTTTGGCATGCATGAGTTTATATTTGTTGAAGCTGATAGGTGGCACTGGTTTAGTAATTTACACCATGAACACAAGTTGGTTGATATAGAATTAGTAGTGTGAATAATATATATCAACGTCAATACTAGCTCCACCCTCATATATATATATATATATATATAATGATTATGCTCTTATTGTTATGGTTGCACTTGAAGTGTGAATGATTTTCAATTTCTGATTTTCCCCTTAACCAGAAAAAATGAGAATCTTAGAAGTTGCAAGTTTCTTAAGACGTTATAGATCTCATATTATTTGATTCATATGAATCACTTAATTGGAAATCGATAATTGCCGCGAGTTATTATCACATGCATATGAATTATTGAAACTTGGTTTACTTATGGATATAATCAGGGAGAGGTAATAGTTTTAAAGGCTTAAGGGTGAGCCCCAGTATGTTGGCCTATTTGCCATTGAATGAGGGTAAGACGATGGGTTCGAGTCCCAGCGCACTATGAGGATAAGACATCGGGTTTAAGGCCTGGTGCACCATGATGATAAGAGTTGGGTTTGAGTCCCAATTCATTATAAACTAACATGCTTTTATATGGGTAAGGCAGTGGCTTTGAGTCCCAATGCACCATATTGATGATATAATGATGACTAATGAAAAATAATGTATTTTTCCTGAAAAAGCATGAAGCTTGTCCCACTTGATTTGCTCCATTCTTGAAGTGAATGTGATAGCGATGCATAATAAATCTAAATGAAGACAAGTGGTTGACTAATGAACGTGGGCGTGCCAAAGACCAAAATAATAATAGTCATCGTTATGATAATTATAAAAAGGAGAACAATAAGGGTTCTCAAAATAATCCTTCAAAGGTGAAGGAAATGTGTACCAATTTGGTGTGTAGATATAAGGCACGTTCAAACGATTATAGTCCATTTTTTGAAAGAATGCGACTTGTGATAAGCATTGTAAATGCAGACTCATTCCTGTAGTGAGAGTAAAAATATATATGTGATACAAATTATGCACAAGAATGTATTTATGCATGGTTGAATAAATACTACAATTCATCTCTACGGGAGGTTTGAGAGAAAGAAAGATCATGAACATTACTATGTGGTTACACGAATATGTCATTGGTCGTGTACATGTGGTAAGCCGAAAATATTTTGCCATGCCTTATAAAAAGTTATTAAAGGCAAAATTAAAGCAAGAAAAGAATTTGCTTATGATAATTTTGACCATGACAATTATTATGATAAGATAATTTTCTCTGTGGAGGAAAAATTCACCACTTGGATGGTGTTATAAAAGATCTTGTAGTGCAAAATTATTGAGAGCTCCAGAAGAGCGAATTTGTTACTACCGAATAAATAAAATTATTCATGGCATTGGTGGTAGTAAGTCTCAAAAGATACTTTTTGAGTTTCAAATGTATTAGCCAAAGTGATTGGCATATTGAGACTATAAATGAAAGAAAGATCGATTATCTTCATATTACTATAACATACCGGGTAAATATGAAGGTTACCCGATTTTTCTTCTATTTTTACTACAGATGTATAAGCATGATATGAAATCACATGCCATAATAAATTAAATGTTTACTGAAATAAATATCAGCTGGCATGACCGGTTGGCCATCCCGGTTTATTGATGCGAAAATTAATTGAGAATTCACATTGGCATATATTGAAGAAATAGAAGATTCTTCAAGAATTCTCTTGTGCTGCTTATTCTCATGATATACCAGTTAAGGTTGGGACTGAATCCTTTGATTTCTGGAACGAATAGAAGGTGATATATATATGGGCCCAGTCACCTGCCATGTGGATCGTTTACTATTATATGATTTTAATAGATGCATCTATTGTATGGTCACATGTGCGTTTGTTATCAACTTGCACTTTGGTTTTTGCAAGGTTGTTTGCTCAAATTATTAGAGCACAGTTCCAGAATATATATTATGATAATTTATCTTGATAATGCTGGTTTAAATCCAAGTTGGTTTAACAGAAATTGTATGCCTCCAATTATAGCTAAACCATTGGTTACGAGAACAAAACTCCCAAATAGAAATTTGGTATGAGGTGTATTATTTAATATACAACAGCACTTGTACGCATCTAGCCAACAAGTTATGATAAATTCTCCCCATCACAACTGGTTCACGGTCAGGAACCAAATATTCCCATCTAGAAATATGGTGTGCTATATGATTTAATTGTGCTGCCACAATGCACAAAGATGGGTTCCCAAAGAAGGTTGGAAAATGTGTTGGTGATCCCGACATTAGGGGGAGAAAATGGGCGGCTGAAATAGTGATACGTGAAATGAATTATTAAGAATACATCTAGATCCTCGTACAAGAAAATGTGAACTTGAAGTTCAAGTGATAATTCATTTCTAAAATATTTCCAAGCACATTGCTGACCCAAAGCTAAATGTCATATTCCAGCTGCTAATGCTCCAAATAGAATAAAGTCCATGATGGATAGAGTTTATTGCACGCATGAAGCGTAATAGACAAATCGGTTCCAAAGAAAAACTCCTTGA